CCCCTCCCCTCCCCTCCCCTCCCCTCCCCTCCCCTCCCCTCCCCTCCCTTCCCTTCCCTTCCCTTCCCTGTAGACATTTGAGCTATTGTTATCTTGTTCTCACATTTTTTTAAATGTTTTTCCCCACCTCTAGGGTTGTTAGAAATATTTCCAGGACAAGTAGCTATTCTGTTAGAATTCTTTTAAATTTAATGTTCTATGAAGTATTATTGCACAAGTGGATAAAATAACTGCTTTTTGTCATGGCATAAAAGTACTAGCATTTTAGGCCATCCTATATAGGTTCACTTATAGTTTGTTTATTCCTTATAGTTTGAAGATTATGAGTGTTTGATATGTTGACATTTATTAAAAACACTATGAAATTTTTTATGAATCAGTGTCATGTTTGGGTGATTGAAGGCATAGTTTGCCTGTGATATTGTAGTACAGTTTATTGATTGAGTCCATGAGGATATTTCAAAGTGTATATATTTAATATAGGTATTTGTCATCTGTTGGGCCATGCATACTTTTTTATAATTCTAGACACCTAATTGTGTCTTGCTAGGTATTTTGTAGGTGCTAAAATTTTATAGTCTACAGCAATATGTATTGTTTCCACTGTTCCTTGAAAAATCTATATAATGGTCACTAAGTGTGGTGTCCTTAAGGATAACATTTCTGTAGTTGTTGGTGGTAATGATCTGGTTCTGAGTTGTCATTATATATTTCACTATTTCCACAAACAAATCTGCATGATTAAGCTTCTTTATCAGCATATAGTTGGTTGAGTTCATGTGGATATCACCCTTGGAGGGCCTTTTGATTCCATTCTTGGATCTTAATGATTTTTTTTGGTCTCCATCTTGATGTGAGCAACTTTTGGTTATGTTTGACAAATCCAATAGTGTGAACCTGACATCATCCCTTTTTTATCTCTCAGTGAAATTATATCTGGTTCTTTCAAAAGCATTTCTATGAGATTTTCTTTAACCTGTTTGTCATGTGCCCTAAGGATGTCTATCAATTTTCTTCCTCTTTTTGGTGTGGAAGCATTAAATCTTTAGGGTGATGGGCTCTGTGTTTTGTTAATATTAATACTGTAGGTGGCAGAGTGTTGGGACTTAAGAATCAGAAAGACCCTGCTCGTTTTGGAGAACAATCTGGAATTACACTCAAAGAGTTATAAAACTGTGTATACCTTTTGACTCAGCAACACTACTATTAAGTCTGTTTCCCAAGGTGATTAGAGAAAAAGGAAAAGAACCTACATGTTCTAAAATATTTATAGCAGCTTTCTTTGTGGTAGCAAAGAATTGTAAACTGAAGGGATGTACATCAAATGGGGAATGACTAAAAAAGTTGTGGTATGTGATTGTGATGGAATACTGCTGGGCTGTAAGAAATGATGAGCTGGTTAATTTTAGAAAAACATTGAGAGACTTGCATGAAATAATGAAGAGTGAAATGTGCAGAACCAAGAGAATGTATACAGTAACAGCAATGTTGTTTGGAAAACAATTGTAAACAACTAAGTTATCCTGAGTATTAGAAACATTCAAATCAACTACAGAAGACCTATGAAGGAAGATATTTTCCTCCTCTGGAGAAAAAACTGATAAATAGAAGTAGGCATGGCATAGTATGGTTTTACATATATAAGTATATGCGTAGATATCTGTGTCAAATGGTGGCCTTCTTTAGTGTGTGGGGAAGGAGGGGAGACAGTTTGAAACTTAAAATGTACCAAAAATATAAATAAAATAAAATAAAAAGAATTAAGAAGATCTTAGTTTGAATCCTGCCTCAGATACCTAATAGGCTGTGCAACCTTTGACAAGCTACTTCATTGCTCTTAGCCTGTTTTGTCATCTGAAAATTTGGATAATATTAGTAACTACCTTAAAGAGTTGTTGTGAGGATCAAATAAGATGACACTGCAAATCTTAAAGCCCTATATAAATGTAGGCTAAATTACTATTGTTATCATTATTGTTATTAATTATACTTTCCAAAACTGTTACAGTTAATTTTTTCCAATTGTTATCATTGTCAATTTTGTCATTAATTTCATTAGTGGGTATAATTTCTAAGTTTAAGCTTTAAGCGAAAATTACCAAGGACTTAAAGATCTTCAACTTCTCTGTCTTCAGATTTCAGTACTTCTTCAATTATCTCCTATTTTGTCTAATTTAGTCTGAGGAATGAAGTTTTATTTTTTATGACTACCTTTCATTTATTGGCAATACATTGTATGACTTGTAACTGAGGACAAAGACTCATCTTTCTGAGTTCAAATCTGACCTTAGATACTTACTGGCTATATGACCCTGGTAAACCACTTAATTCTGTTTGTCTCAGTTTCCTTATCTGTAAAATGACCTGGAGAAGGAGATGACAAATCACTCCAGTATCTTTGCCAAGAAAACCCCAAATGGGGTCAGGAAGAGTCAGACATGACTAAAATGACTGAACAACAACAATGAAAGCAGTCATCTTTTCAGTCCATTTCATGAGCACTCATTAGCCCATTCTGGTGGTCGGAACCATTTTCAATGAAGCATTTTCAGCAGGTAGAAATGTGATACTGAAATTTTTGATTGTTCTCATGTATCATGATACCAGAACACAGAGGAGCTCCACTGTCTGCTGTCATCTGTGATAAGCTGATCATCTTGATTTCTTATAGGGATCCCCTGTAACCCTATTTCAGGCAACAATTTGGTGCAGTGGATAATTGAATGCTGGTCTTGGAGTCAGAAAGACCTGAAGAAGACACTTATTAGCTACATCACCCTGGGCAAGTCATTTAATTGCTGTCTGACTCAGTTTCCTTAACTATTAAATGGGGATGATAATAGCACCTACCTTCCAGGTTTGTTGTGAGGCTCAAATGAGATAATATTTGCAAAGGACTCAGCATAGCAGCCAGCACATAGTAGGTGTTTAATAAATGCTCATTTCCTTCCTTCCGTCCCATCTATTTCCTTGATTCCTAGGAAAAGTTTTATCGCATTGGACAAGGTGGGTTCCAGGCCTTCACAGTTATCATAGTAGTCTTAGATCCTATAGAATCTGCACTATATCTCATTTGGCTGCATTTTCCTTACTTTGCTATTGTTCTGCCTTCCCAACATGGATGAAGGGTTAGGCCTTTTTGCTGCTGTTGCTGCTGTTGTTGTTGTTTTTAATTGTCTGTACCAGAATTGGGACTAGAAGTCATATCACTTAAATACAAGTCAAAGATGTCTTTAAAAAACTATACCTCTTTTTGCCTCAGTTTCCTTATCTGTAAAATGGCTGATGTTACTTTCATTACTTGTCTTACAAGGGAAGTGCTTTGTAAAACTCAAGATATTTAAAGCATAGAAATATGGAGGGTTATGATCACATTAGGAGAAAAATGCCACCACATCCTAATTCTTGACATCCCCTCCTCTATGGCCCCCCACTTCTAGTTCCTTTCAGCTCCAACAACACATAAAAAACAAGTTGAATCATTTATTTAGCATATATAGGAAAAGGTTTCATCCAGGGATCAAGGTAGAGACAGAAGGATGGATGACTCTGAGGAGGAAGAGTGAGAGACTAGAAGTCAAATGGACTATTTGATTATCTGTGAACTAATAGATGATTTTTCTGAAGCCAGGGCAGATTTCAGCAGGTCAGGGAAGGGCAACTTGGGTTTTCCTGTGAGACAATGATAAGGAATCAGTCATCAGGTGTTTCAGACATAATAATAAGTGAAATTTATGTAGTGATTTAAAATTTTCCAAGTGTTTTACTTGCACAATTTCATTTGATCCTCCAAACAATCCTGGAAAGTTAATATAACATATGATTATATCTATATTTCAGATGGGGAAACAAGCTCAGAGAAGTTAATTAATTTGTTCACGGTCATACAACTTATAAGTATCAGAGGTGAGATCTGAATTCAGGTCTTTCTGACTTCAAATTCAGTGCTCTAGCCACTACTAAAAGGTAAGGATGGGGGGAAAACCAAAAACCAAAAAACCAGGAGCTTAGGTGAGGCATTCTTATGTAGGATTATACTGGTGCAGCCCAGAAGAAAGTGCATCAGTCATCCTCACAGAGGAAAAACCTAGAGGAATTGTGTGGGGGGCCATAGGCAGGGCCAGGCAGCATCTCCAAAGCTAGGCAACTGATTTTTCTCTAGAGACCAGTAACTGGGTAGTTTCCAGAGGCTTAAGCCACTGCTATTACCTTTCCACTTTGGAAAAGCATCTAAAGGGGAAGTTCCTCCTTTTTTTAAAAAAAAATGCTTTATTCCTCTCTCTGTACCATCTACTCCCCCTTCTCCTAATAAGTTTTCCATTTGATCAAGTGTGCTTAGCAGTTACAATGTATGTGTGTGTGTGAAAAGGTGTCCCAGAGAGGTGACCAGGGAAACAGTAAGCCCCTAAAGAAAGAGAATAAATGCAACTTTAGACTATTTCTGCCTTACTAATTTGCTTGCGCACTACATTTTTCAACCATATGGCTTTTTTTCCTCAAAACTCATTTCTCCAGGGAACCTTCCTTGATTAACTCTGTTGGACTCTAAATGTTTCCTTATAAATCTGTTCCCCTAATGCTTAGTCTCATTATATTCATCTGTGTATATGTTTGGTTGTACCTCTCCTACCTTTTTCATGTGTGTGTCCCATCTCCCCTATCAGATTATAAACTCTTTTTGGAGAAGGATCCTGTTCCTTTCTTGCTATTTTAATACACTGTGGGACACACAGTGGGTGCTTGGTGTAAGGCACTGAATGACTGCTGGAGGTGAAGGTAGGGGGAAAGAACGGGAAGACGCTGGGGGATAGAGGTAGGGGGATGAAGAGTGAGGGACAGTGTTCAGGACACACTCAATACTTTCAAAAGAACCACTAAGTCCTCTTGGAGAGATAGGCTCCACCCCTAGATGTGCACTGGATGGCCTAATGGGGTATCCCATCCATGATTCATAGTTATCCCCCCAGTCACAAAGCTGAACCTCAGGACACAAAATCCCAGCTTACAGACTCAAAGCCAGAAATCACAAACCTGTAGGCTGGTGATAACTCTTCTATTCTCTATCTGTATTGCATTCATCTGTGGAGTAAAACAGCAGACATGAGTGACCATTAAGCACCACCTTTTCTATGTCACCAACCCAGAGAAGATACAGTCAATGCTTTCTGAGTGAGGACAATAGCACCTGAGCTGGGTGTCATGGGATAATAAGATCACAGATTTAGAGCTAGAGGGGACCTTGGAAGTGATTTAGTCCAATCTTTCGTTTCCATCCCATGGAATTCCTGTTTCTGATCAAGGAAGAAGAGAGAACAGAAAGGTGAACAAACCTTACTATGTTTGGCCACGTCAATGATATCATCCTTATTGATTCTATTTTTTTGGCAAAGGTTCTTAAAGAATTTTTTGACGCTTTCTTTCATGACTTTGGTCTGTCCTATGATTAGGGTGAAAAACGAGAATGTGATTGTGGAGTTTCTCTCACTGATCCTTTTTGATAAATCAGAAGGGGTTGGCTTCACATATCAGGAGTGGAGGAAAAAGTTAGAGTTCTAATCTTAGATCTGAGTGAATCATGAGGCATCTTTGAGGAGCCTAGAGCTGCCTTATGCCCTAGAATTAGGTGTGTTACTTACAGTGGTTCAGTAGGGTAAAAGTCAGAGGAGAAAGGAGATAAGATAATCTTTTTAAACAATTCTTAAAGAGACTACAATCTCCAATAAGTATGACTGTGGGTAAATGACTTATAAAGGTCTAAATAGAATCACTCCTTTCCCATTGCTCTCTGCCCTGGGTCATTTTTTGGAAAAGTAAAGCTGAAACTCTCTCAGCATCAAAATTCTAGTGAGTTGGGCATGAGATACAAGGAGATTAATTTGTATTGAAAGAGAGGGAGAGTTGGTAGGGGAAGGAAAGGGTGAAGAAGATAGAAAACAAAAAGAAAGGATTAAACAAAGATAGAGAAAGAGGACAGCCAAGCATAGGGAAAGAAAAGAGATTAAAAAAGGTAGAAAAGCACTTGTATTTGCAAATGAGTTTATGAAAAAGAATATACATGTATATGTTATTATTATTATTATTGCATACCCTATCCTGCCAAAAACTTTCCTTCCCAGAATCCAAAATAGTAATAATTGGCTATATTTGCACAGTGCTTTGTAGTTTACAAAAGTGTCTGTTAGCTTACTCAATCATAATAGCCCCTAAAGGTCGCAAATCAGGGGTTTTTATCCCTACTTTATGGAAGGGAAAACAGATCCAGACAGGGGATGTGAAGCTAAGCAGGGGCTAGAATTGGGAGTAGTATTCAGGTGTCCTGATGTCTAATTCAAGGCTCTTCCTATTACGTTATGGCTTTTTTCTTTTGATCACAAGGGAATGCTATAGTGTGGGGGTTGGGAATATATCGGTGGACACTTGCCATAAAGCTCCAACACCACAGTCTCTACCCCATTTTGAATGTTATGCATAGAAAATATAACATATTTCTGTGCATCAGCTTTCTCCACATAGATAGTATTTTCTCCTTCATCTGTGAAATCACCAGAAGAGGAAGATCAGAGTTCTCAAAGAATCAAGAAATGAGGAGAACTGGCATGTGATAGGGTGCTTCCTGAGTTCAGTGATTACACTAGACCTACTTTAAGCATATGCATTCTCCAACTTGTCAATTACACTTTTATAAAGCTTAACACTCTTCAAAATGTCCCCAAGCTCTATGTTATTCCTACTGATTTTTGCAAGGCTCTGGGAGATAGGTAAGGAGAGTATTATCCTTCCCCATCTTGTAGATGGGAAAACTGAGACCCAGAAGTTAAGTGATTTCCCTAAGATTGAAAATAATAACAACTCAAGGTTATATCATGCATCATGGTTTTCAAAGTCACTCAATAGTCCTATAAGATAGGCACTGCAAGAAGTCTTAGCCTCATTTCATGGATGGGGAAATTAAGGATCAGAGATCTGAGGATCATAGTTTCAGAGCTGGAAGGGATCTCCTAGGCTATCTTATCCAACTCCTTCATTTTATAATAGAAGGCTAAGTGACTTGCCCAAGAGCATAGGGGTAATAAGCTGAAGGAGGAGGATCTGAACTCAAGTCTTTTTTAATTTTGGTGGCAATGCAGGTTAAGTGACTTGCCCAGGGTCACACAGCTAGCAAGTGTCTGAGGCCACATTTGAACTCAGGTCCTCCTCACTCCAGGGCTGGTATTCTACCCACTGCACTATCTAGCTGCCCCCGGAACTCTAGTCTTTTGAGTCTAGAGACAGTGTTCTTTTTCACTGTACCACACTCCTTCACTAGATATTCAAGCACTCACCCACTGTCACATAGCTAGTAAGTGTCAGAGGCAACATATAAATTCAATTCTAGATCTTTTCCCACTATATAACAATGCTAAAAACAGAGTTAGGGTTAGAATCTGAGTCTCCTGACTTTCTATGACATTACATAAGACCTCTTTAGCAATTCCAGACTAATCCACTCCCTCAAACAATACCATATTCTTGGAATACAGACCATCCCCACCCCTCCCAAATAAAACAATCAATCTTCCTTCAATTCAATTCAATTCAATTCAAAACATTTATTACAGCCTACTATGTGCAATATTCTGTACTAGGCCCTGGGGATACAAAACTAAAAAATTAGTCTCATCTTTTCAAAAACTCCTGAAATGAATTGTTCTTTTGAGAGAGACTAATTTTTCAGTCTTATTCTGATCCTCTAAACAAGCCTGTCAACTGTCTCAAGTCATAAATTTTGGAGCTCATGGACTTTTCCTTTTGATTTGGTTGAATTGGATTAGACTTAATTAGACTTATTGGATTCCTATACTTTTCTGTCATTGGAGGGAGATGAACCTCCATGAGAATGTTTGTTTTATACTTACAATCCAATTTTAGCACATTATTTTTTTCTGTTTTATTAGCAACCAATAAATGCTGGATACATTTCCCATCTTTCCTGGAATAGAAAGAACAATCAAACAACAACAACAAAACTCTTTGGAACAAAAAATTTGGACTTCAGTCACTCTAAATGGTGGCATGTGGATTCTTTCTAGTCCCACTGACTTTTGTGGGCCTGATCACTAAGGGGGTAAGAGATTTGTATAATTCTTATCTTCCCCACTTGGGTTTTTTTACATTCTGACATCCTCCTTTCTGTACCACCTTCCCCCACACCCACCACCCCCCATTTCAATTCCTTTAGAACTTTTGGGCCTTTGTGCCCTAGCCCAAACACATACCTCAATGCATGGGTCAAAGGCTCTTATTCCAAGTGTCTGGCTTTTTTTTTATGTGTGTATATGTGTGGCAGGTAGCATATCTGTGACTCTGGCACCTGAAATCTTTTCCCCATTACTTACAGGAGGTATAAGTCAAATAGGACATCATGCTCACGCACTGCGATAATTTTTATGGAAAACTTCTTGTCACCTCCATCCTCTATCCGCTTCTGTACACTTGAAGCCAAGTAAATGGAAGACCACTTTCCTGAAAGTTGATGAAAAAGTCTAGAAGAAACTCTTTTTATCCTTGCTCCCAATCAGCAGAAGCCTAGAGTACAGAATTCATTTACAATTCATTGAATAACCATTTATTAAGCCCTGACTATGTGCAAGACTATGTCTAATTGGGAGGTGTTACAAAATGGATATGGCATTGTTTTTTCCTTCAAGGTTCTCTCACTCTAGTACAGGAAATAGAATAGGTAACACAAATGACTATAATACAAATAAAAATATAAGTACATAAAAAACATAAAGTGCTAAAAAAGCATAAAGAGCTCAAGGGATGAAGAGATTACTGTCAGTGGGGCAACTAAGGAAACCTTCATGGAGGAGGTGACATTATGACTGCTAGGTCAGTTATAGGAGGCTTCCTTTTCTCCTGTATTCTCACCTGAAGAATCTTTTCAATTCTTTTCCAAATCCCATCCTGGTCCTGATCAGTGACTAAAGGCTTTACTTTTTTAACTGTAAATGGAGAAAGAATCCACCCAGGCCCTCCATTCCCCCTGATACCTTTTGCAGATCATCTATTAAATTTTTATCAGATGCAGCATGGTGGACATGTGTGGCAGAGACTAGAACTAGCCCTAGGCTCAGCAGAAGATTTATCTTCATGGTGCTGGTCTCTTGGACTTCCTCTGCAGTCAGGATGCTGATGGTGGTTTTGATAAGTGACCCATGCACTTAGCTTATGTGCCTTTATACTGTCTTCTGGGCCAGGCAGGGTTAGGGAGTGGAGGTGGTGGTGTTTTTGACAATGAGAAACTTCAAGTCCCTTTTCAATTACTCATAAAGATCCTTTATTAATGGAATGTACAGCCAACGATTATCTATTTGCCAAGTGTTCCAAGGACACTAGAGGTTATGTCCTCTTTGGTACTAATAATATTAGCTTTATCAAATGCTAATTTTCAAGAATGATGTACCATGTTATGATAGGCCTGCTTCCTAGATGAGGTAGCTCCCTCCCATTCATGGTCTTGAAAGTCAAGTTGCCATATCTATTTGCCATGTGGCTCAGGCAGAGATCCAGTGTCCTCATAATCACTCCTTGAGACCCCTTTCATATGGGTTATTTGTATCCTTTTGGGGGATTAGTTTTATAAATTCCTATAGAAATGTTGGATCCCCTGATATTCTGGAGGTTATCTTCTAGGAGCCGGGGAATGGATTCAGCTTCCTGGACCTTATCAGAGGGACTGAGTACAGGCCTGGTGGGAGGACAATAGGGCTAGATTTCAGTCGTGGTCTTGATCCCCCCTCTGCCTTGTCCCTTGCCCTTCTCAGAAATTATGATGGGTGATAGGAAATATAAGGTCAGCGAGATAGAACTGAGGTATGGCTGGCTCCACTGATAAATGAACTCCCCACAGTGAGAGGTGGCATGTTGAGTGGGGGAAAGCCAATGTCAATGAGACCAGGCCCAAGCTTCTGGCTTCCAGTTTGTGGTCTCCTCTTTCCTACAGAATCAGCTTTTGGAAGTTACTCCTGGAGTGAAGGAGGGCAGCAAACTATTAAAGCTTGAACATATGGGCTTAGGACATAACCAAGAACTTAAGAAATTCAGACATAGCTTTTTGGGAAGCAAATAGACTATTTAAAGGATAAGGAACCTATCATATAGGTTCCTTTAGCATGTTCACTTCATGTTCCACTCCAGCTTCACTCGATTCTCTGGAGTTCTTTCTCTACCATGACCCAATAGCCTCCTCACTTTGGAAGATAATAATAAACAAATGAACAAACAAACAAAAAACAACATGAATAATTTATATAGTGCTTTATAATTTGCAAACAACTTTGCACATGTTGTCTTATTTGATCCTCACAACCCTGGAAAGTAGGTATTATTATCCCCATTTTAAAGATAAGTAAACTGAGGGAGACAAAGGTTAAGTAGCTTCCTCAAGGTCACACAGCTAAGAAGTGTCTAAGTCACATTTGAACTCATGTTTTCCTGAATTCAAGTGCAAGCACTTTATTCACTCTGGTGTCACCTAGTTGCCCCAACAGTCCTCTCACCTTGGAATATCACTGCCTCTGTGACCACTTCCTCCGACTCCACACAGTATCTCCATTTTAAGTCAAGTGTTCAAGCTAGCCATGTTGATTCCTTCATTCCTTTCTCTATTCCACTCTGGAATCTCTGGATTTCTCTTTCCATCATGTCTTCTCTTTCCCTCCTCCCTCCCCTCTTCACCTTCCTTTGAGGGATTGTTTTCCCCCATTAGAAAGTAAGCTCCTTAAGGTCAGAGTCTATCTTTCTATTTGCTTGTATTTGTATTCCCAGAGCTTAGCACTCTGCCTGGCACACAGTAAGTGTTTAATAAGTGCTTGTTGTTGGCTCCAGCAGCACATCAGGGACCATGATGTTAGAGTTCAAATGTGGTGGCACCACCATCTTTGATGGGGAAAAGAGTCCACTTTTCTTCAGTTTGTTGTCCTCTTTCTAGTTTTATTCTTTAATGCCCTTGAGATGACTTTACTTAGATGGGTCTCTTGCCAACCTTTCTTTAATCTTGTTTTCTCCTCCATTGCTTCTCATTGTTTTATGACATTAAAATGCTCATTATTTTCCACGATCTTTGTCTGTAAGATTTCACAAGCAAGCTTGTATTCTAGAATTGTGTTATCTTTGGCTAAAATCATGAATCTACAGGAGTATTGGTAAGCAGTTCCACACTAACATCAACAGGGAAGGCATCAATCAGAAACTTATTAAAAAAGAAATGCCTCACAGTTTAGACCATTGCCTGAGATAAACACACGATTGCTGCTCCTTATGTTGTTTGCTGGCCCGAGGTAGAGGACAAATGGACTAATTGCCTTCCAATATTAAATAAGGGAATTAAGGAAAGCCCTGGAAAAATCATGTTTCGTCTCATCATCTGCAAAATAGATATAATAATATTTATTTTAGCCATCTCAAAGGAAGAAAGTGATTTGTGAATCTCAACAAGATAGAGAAGCATAAGTTATTTTTGTTGTCATTTCTGCCCCCTTTAGCAAAACACTCAGAATCAGGCATAGAGTCTGGTTATGAAAGCTACCTCTTTCCCTCCCTCTCCCTGAGTCCTGCTTTCTTCCAATCCTAATAAAATGCACTCAGGGCACACTGGTCCCAGCTTGAGTCATTTCTTCACTATTTGATTAAATTTTTTTTTATCATTACATCGAAGTCAACTTATATCCACCCCCTTTATGTATACTTCTTCAACATGGTATAATAACAATACAGTTCTCAAGAGTTGCAAGTGTCATCTTCCCTTTTAGGGATGTAAACATTTTGCCCTTATTAACAACATACTGTATCTTTCTGTCCCATTTACCTTTTTATGTCTCTCTTATATCTTGTACTTGAAGATCAAATTTTTTGTTGAGCTCTGGTCTTTTTATCAGGAATGTTTGGAAGTCCCCTATTTCATTGAATATCCATCTCCCTCCCTGAAAAATCATGCTCATTTTCTCTGGGTAGTTAATCCTTGGCTGCATTCTAAGCTCCTTTGCCTTATGGAATATCATGTTCCATGCCCTATGGTCTTTTAATGTAGAGGCTGCAAGGTCCTGTGTAATCTTGACTGTGGTTCCATGGTATTTAAATTGTTTCTTTCTGGCTGCTTGCAGTAATTTCTCTTTAATCTAGTAATTTTGGAACTTAGCTATTATATTCCTTGGTGTTTTCAATTTGGGGTCTCTTTCAGGCGGGGAGTGGTAGATTCTTTCTATAGTTATTTTACCTTCAGGTTCTAGGACTTCAGGGCAGTTTTCCTTTATGATTTCCTGAAGGATATTGTCCAGGCTCTTTTTTTCATCATGACTTTCAGGTAGGCCTTTACTTTTTAGATTGTCTCTCCTGGATCGATTTTCCAGGTCAGCTGTTTTACCCATGAGGTATTTTATGTTTTCATCTATTTTTTCATTTTTTTTGTTTCTGTTTGACTGATTCTTGCTCTCTTATAGAGTCATTAGTTTCCATTTGTTCAATTCTAATTTTTGACATATTGTTTACTTCTGTTAGATTTTGTACTTTCTTCTCCAATTGGTCAATTGTGTTTTTAAGGGATTTATTTTCTTCAGTGTATTTTTTTTTCCAGTTGGCCAATTGTATTTTTAAGGGATTTGTTTTCTTCAGTGTACTTTTTTTCCATTTGGCCAATTGTGTGTTTTAGGGACTTGTTTTCTTCAGTGTACTTTTTTTTCCAATTGACCAATTGTGCTTTTAAAAGACTCCTCTACCTCTCTCATTTGACTTTTAAAATCCTTCTTGAGTTCTAAGAAGGCTTTTTGGGCTTCAGACCAGTTCATATTCCCTTGTGATGTTGCAGATGTGGGTTTGATGACAGTGTTGTCCTCTTCAGAATTTCTGTCTTGATCTTCACTCTTCTCATAATATAAATCTATCAAATTACTTTTCTTTTTACCTGTGGTGTTTCTTTATTCCCTGGTGTTTAAAGAGATTAAGCTCTCCTGCTGGGGTGCAGAGGGCACTGACCCAAGCTTCTTGTGTTGGGAGCCTAGTTCTTGGTCACTGGCTTTGTGTGCTGGGGCCTCTATGATGGCAATTGGAGGCTGTAGGGTTCTGACAGCTTACCTGGTGTTGGGCTGGAATCAACAAGGGTGGAACTTTCGGGCACCTCTAGGTTGCTTTTTTCAGCTCCTTTCAGACAAATGCTGCCAGGTGCTTATCCACCTGGGACCCTTTGTAGTGCTGCTTCTCTTATTTTTGCTGAGGCACTGGGAGATCCATTTGCTGTAGAATGCTGAGGCACTAGAATTTCCTCCAGGTGTGCTAAAGTGGGTCTTTCAGCTAGCTGGCTAGGTGACTCCTGTTTCGTACTGCTCTCCTTCCCCCAGGGTAAGAGGGTTCTTTCCCATTAATCCCTCTAGCTACCTGGGCTACTGCAAAGCTGCACCCCATCTTTCTTCTGGTTCAGCTGTTCCATGGTTTTTTCTGGGGTGATATCTTCTGGGTTTTCGGAGGTTGATAGGGGAGGGTGAGAGCGACTACCTTTTTACTCTGCCATCTTGGCTCCCAGAAGCAGAAGTCCCATCATTTGTTCACTATTTGAAGGAGAGGTCTTACAAAGAGGGTGAGGATGAATATGGGTGGTGGTGGTGATGGAGGTGGAGATACTGGAGGTGAAAGATAATTTTTCAACTCACATTTTAGGCATAGTCATTTGGTTATGGAATATCAGATACAAATGTTTTATACATAATGTAAGTCACTGCAAAAATTTTTGTTCTTTGTAACTGAGATTCTTAGTCTTTGTCTTCCAAACTGCTTATGGGTGATTACAACTCCTCCCCTTCCCCCCTCTACCTTAGCATCAATTCAACAAGCATTTGTTACTATGTGCCTGGCACTGTGCTAAGCACTGAGGATACCAATATAAGCAAAAAGACAGTCCCTTCCTCCAAGGAGGGGAGACAACACATACACCAGAGCTGAAGGACAGCTGGTCTTGGTTCTTCCTCAAAATGGAAGTTCCAGGAAGAACTCAGTAGTAGGAGGAGGGGACCTAAAGGGGGCAGGAGCAGAAAGTAATTGAGGCATGACTGTGGTCTTCAGAACAAAGAAAGGCTAGTTTGGGTCCTTTAGCTTCTTTAGGAAGACTTCTTTGGAATCTCTTAACTGCTTGATAGC